CATATCCCCTGCGTAGTAGCGCGTTCAGTTCGTCATAGAATGTGTCCTTGACAGCATTTGAACTGCAGTCGGTGGGAGCATAAGCGGAAATCACGAACAGCGTTTCGTACTACTTCGTGAATCAACCTTTGCTGATGTCGTCAAACGGGCTGCGCATAAACGGCTGTTCACCGGGATTAAATCAACCAACGCTGGCTCAACCTTGCAGATTAGAATGATACCTACACCAGCTTGACTCGTGAGTGCTGCATCGGCGTCTCCGGAAGCGTGCAACCAATAACGAGAGGATAATCCAGATGAAGTTAATTCAATAACCCTGTTAGGGTCATTGATCCTAGTTCCGGGCATACAACACACATCAATACCCAGCGTGTCCAACATACGTGCGAGTGCAGCCTGTTGACCTATTTGTCTTACAGTGCGAACGTTGAACGTCGCCATGGAAACGGGATAGCGTAGCCTTATAAGGGACTTTTGCCGATAGGCGTCCGATGGGTATCGCGAGGTAGCTTCAGATGGTTCTACTGCAGTGGCACCTCGGTTGCTGTCAATTAAGCTGGGAATTATAGAAGGAAGGTTAATAATGGGGGTCGGGATAGGAGTAAGAGGAACAGGTGGAAAAGAAAGAAGGGAGGCGCCAACAGTAACATGTTTTCGCTTATCCGCCCCGCTGTATGCAGCAGATAAGGCGACCCTTGCTAATCTGCGCGACGGCCGATGCAGGATGAAGTTTGTGTTTGAAGAAAATGTCATGGTTGTATGTGGGCTGATATACTGCCAGGGCGCCCAGACCTAGACAGGGTCCTCATCCAAAGCCTTTGGCTCCTAAGCCTGTCATCAAGGCAGCGGGGAGGTGGCGATGATTTTGTTTTACAGAAATGGACGCCATCCAATTTCAAACCCCCAAAGTGGAGGACCAGGACACTGAGTTTGTCTGACCTCTCACCATTGACCAAGCTGGTAGGAGTAGATCTCAAGGTGTCCGGAGGCATCACCCAGTACAACTCTGTGGGTCAATGAGGTACGCAAACCGTCGCACCAAGTTAAGGTCCCGTCTCGTTGCGACGGATCCAGTCTCGTTTCGACGTGGACTTCAAAATGACCCTAAACATCGTTTATTAGTCCGCTGGGCCAAGCGTTTCTCCTCGTGACCCGGTGGCTTAGGGGTAGCGGTCACAACTAACATCCCAGTGGTCCTGGGTTCCATGCCTGCTAACGCTATCTGACGATGTAATAACATTGAAACGCGTTATAGTAGTACATGCTTTTCGGGCGAGCAACATCCAATTTCTATTCGCATCAGCTACAATCCTCCTGATCTATATGCCAAGGTTCACTTCAACGGGAATCGTGGTCAGCATTGAGATTCTGGGTCGCAATCCATCCATACCACTTGTACTGCAAAATGACCATAAACACCGTTCATTATAGCGTTGTGCCAAGCGTTGACCGTCGTTACCCGGTGGCTTAGGGGTAGCGGTCACAATTAACATAACAATGGTCCCGGGTTCCATGCCTAAGTACTATGTCTGATGAGATTTACTTACATTGAAAGGCGTCATAGCGGTGCATGGTTTTCGGGCGGGCAACGCCCAATTTCTATTTGCATCAACTACAGCCCTCGTTTTCGGCAGACCGTGGTTCATTGATGAAACAAAGGAAAGGAAGTTACAAATGCCTCGATCGGGGCCACTTGGCCGCTTCTTGCATTTTGAATCTTATATGAGGTCAGTCGGGTTGCAGAGATTGCCATCATCATCATATCATCATCATACAATTTAGCTAGAGGTGAGGAACACCTCAGCTACTGTGCCGCAATACGCAGAAAAAAGGAGAAAAATATACAACTGGTGCAAGCCGGCTGAGCTACCGGTAACGGATGGGTATCGTTCCGGTAAGCTACCAGCCGGCTACTGTGCATCAAAAAAATACTATGCGAAATAATATAAAGTTAACTAATGAGATCATAGTTAGAGGGGGAGGCTAAGAGGGATGGGGTGGGACAAAGAAACTCACAGCACGAACGCCACTGAGGTCGGCTCCTAGCCATATCAGTAAATGTGTCCAACCAAACATGTTCATCGTTTTTCGGACCCCAACCAGGGAGCCGAGACGCTCCAACCGAGGCCAGCTCAGAAGTGAGGGCCTTCATTCCTCTGGACCAAGTCATCGCTTGGCCACCCCTCCTCTTCTTCCATCCACACCCCCGGCGCGCAAACAACGCACGTCGATGGAGTCGGTGGGCTGGCATGCGTAACACGTGACCGAGCCATCGGAGCCTGGTGAGTGAAATGACGGTGCTGAGCGGTTCATTTCCTTTTCTTGTGCCGTAAACAAGGCGTCGAACACGCTCGTTACTCACGCGGTGTTCCCACCAAATGTGAGCTAAATTACGAAGGCACCGGTGGTCTAGCGTAACTAGCCTATTTAGCTCCGCTGCTTTAAGCAGCAAGGTTTCACAACCGTACAATAGGGTCGAACGTACTGCTGCATTGTACACTGTACCCTTCAGGGCAAGAGTGATGTCGCACCGGTGCCATAGGTGGCGAAGGTTAGCAAAAGCGCCCCGAGCTTTTGCTATACGGTTCGTGATCTCATCCTCAATCCAACGAGCGCTGATACAACTTCCCAGGTAGTTGAATTTTTGAACGACTTCTAGCTGATCCCCACCAACGGTCAGCGTAGGAGGGGGTCCAGTCCAATCTTGGAGGAACACTTTGCACTTCGAGGGTGCGAAGCAAAGCCCGAAGTGACGGACAACTAGTGCTAATCTGTCCAGTGCCGCTTGGCACGTCTGTGATCTGTCACAGATTAGGGCAATATCGTCAGCATACTCCAAGTCAAGAAGTCGTTCTCCTCGGAGCAGATCCACACCTTCTAAGTCGTGTCCTGTGAACACGATGTCCATGACTTCGTCAACAGCGAAGTTGAAGAGGATAGGTGACAGCAGGCATCCTTGTCTCACGCCGCTGGAGATATTTAAGGGCGACGACAACTTGCCGTAAGCCCTCACTCTGTCCGAGCTACGCGCATATAATGCTCGGATAATATTCACATATTTCTCAGATACGTTTTTTCTGAGTAGACAGTCCCAAAGTGCATGTCTATCCACCGAATCGAATGCACCTTTGATATCGAGGAACACGACAACGGTGGGCCGCCAATATATGTGACGGTGCTCCAGCAACTGACGCAAAGTAAAGATGTGGTCAATGCAGCCACGACCTCGACGAAATTCAGCTTGCTCTTCACGAATCTGGCTTTCACGAGTGCCAGTCAGTCTGTGAAGGATGACAGAGGCAAGCAATTTAGAGGCAATCGTAATCAGACTGATTCCTCTATGGCTGCCGCATTCCGATCGTGAGCCTCCCTTAAAACTTGGGACTATGATGGAGCGGCTCCAATCGGTTGGGATAGTTTCCTGCTCCCACAGTTTGACTAGTAACTCGTGTAAATCATCCACAAGAGCAGGTCCGCCGAATATGAAGAGGGCTGGAGGAAGATCATCAGGTCCCGCGGCTTTATTTAATTTCAACAGTTCGATCTCACGTGCGACTTCTGAGCGAGAGGGTGGATCCAAAGGGACAGCCCAGGGAGCGGGGCGATCACTGGCCGGCGAGAAATCTAACCATTCCGACCGATTAAATTGCCTTTCAAAGTGTTCAGCCCAACGCTCTAAGTGTTTTGATAAGTTGTGGATAGGCTGTCCACTCTCGTCACGTATAGTTTCACTAACGCCAGGTCTCCTGCTGCCCGTTTTCCCTATCAGACGGAATAACTTACGATGGTTACCAAGGGCAGCGGCCAAGAGGTTGCCATCACCCACTGCTGCACTTGGATCTCAAAGGGGACTCCCAGCCAAAATTGGACAGCCTCCGTACTACTTCCGTTTCACGACAAGAGATTTAACTGCCCATTGTACCTGTAGGCCTACGTGGCACTCTAGAATCAACTGGGACGTTTGCATTGTTAGACACCGGGTCAGATATCACGTTGGCGGAGGAAGGTTTGCTGCGCGAGGTTGGACTAACGCCCACCCCTGAGTCGTTGATGATCCCAATGCTGACTGGAGCGACATCCATTGATGAAAGCCATGTCGGTTTACTTTTGACCTTATTGAGCGGTGAGGATGCAATTCATGTTCCTCGGGCCTACTGCCTTAATCAGTTGAATTTGCAACGTGTCAAGACGTCTACTCGAACGATGGGTCGTCGCTGGTCCCACCTAAAGTGTGTGCAATTTGGAGAGCTCTAAGATAGGAGTGTGAGAATACTGACGGGCGCCGAGGTACCAGCCGCCCACTTGTAACTAGAGCAGCGCCTGGGGGGAAGGAATCAACCTTTGCTGCGAGAAGTCCCTTGGGATGGATCTTGATTGTGCTGGTAGAAAGCGAAAGAGCGCCATTTGCCTCTATCAACCACGTCCGATAAGATCGGCAATCGGTGGAAGAGTAACTAAGTTTACCATATGACAACGAGTTCGCTAGCGAATGGCAGAGAAAGGAGACGGTTGCAGTTAATCTCTGTGAAACACGTTTGAAACTTCAGGGATTTTGGAAACTGGCAAGCCGATACTATCCGGCACATGATGGAATGAACCAACGCCGACCGCAAACCAGTAAGGCAGGACTGGAGATTGATTTCCTAGAAAGACTTCGAGAGTTTTCTACGGAGCCACTTGATGAGGTATGTGCGACAGAAGAAAAGCCTCTCCCACACAAAGGTGCATTATCTCCACAGAAGGAAATAGGTTCCATTAAAGCTTCAATGGGTCGTGCTAGCATATGCAGGACTTCATGTGACCAAATGGCGAGCGTCGCATAATGCACAACTTTTGGAACCAACCGCTTGCGATATTGGGTGGAACTTTCCAAGACCTTTGCGTGATCAGCCGCAGAGCGTCCGAGTCTAGCACAGACTGTTTTGCAGCATCCCCAAAGCATTGCTGCGCATAATCGGCAGATAGAAGAGTTGAAGTCAGCACAGCGTTACACTGAGATGATGTTGGAGGCTAAAACACATGCTATGGTTGACCAGTTGCTTCTAAAGGCCAGTGAAAATGCAACTCAAGGGTCGTCCTCAACGACTGCCAGGTCTTCTGCCGACTTCACCCGGATATTCCATCCCCGGTCTCATTCTGCTAGAGAGACGAATTCCACGAGTCAGTTCGAGTTGAAAGCGAATGGGATTCCTGCAAAGCCGAATGAAGTAATGCCAGCACTGGAACAAGCAGGTGAGTGCCCAAAACCCGTTGCTTCTCCGACCTTACTATGGGCTAACTTGGAGAACAGGAGTTTATCGTGCACAATACAATCCACCGTTGAGGACAATATGCTTCTTCGTCTTCACTTCTTAGTCTGGAGGCAAACCGTTGTTGCAACTCGAATTCAGGTGGCAACCTTTGCAAAACGGCGTCACTGTCGTCTGAAACGTTCTGCATTTCGAAGCTGGCGAAGTCTGTCGGTTGTAGCTCGACTGGAGAGTGAGTTAGAGAAGACCAAGTAGTATTCACGCTGCTGCAGGCGAGAAAGAGAGGTCTAAAGAAAGAGGTTTAAAGAAAAACGCAACCTTAAACGCGGTGATGTCGTAATGGTTGCTTCAGAGCAGCCACCCCGAGGACGTTGGCCGCTTGACCTGACTGAAGACTGCATTGCATCTGGAGACAGGCTAGTAAGAACAGGGGTCGTGAAAAAGAAAGATGGTTTGCTGAAGAGAGATTTAGGGAAGATCTGTTTGCTTTAGGTTAGTGATGAAGGTAATGAGGTATTTGGCAATACGGCTGAGTCAGAATTAGGACAAGGACAACTGGAGCGGGAAAAGAAGAGTCAAGCAGCGTGAACTTCCTGGTAGGAATTTGGTGGAGTAGTGTAACGGACAAATTAACTTCTTCAACTTAGCTGGAGATTTTCCCTACTGAGTAACCCCAAACGACCAATCACTACCCCATTGATTGCTTATTGGACTTTGTTTCTCTTTCACCTTTGGACCTTGATTAACCACATGCGTTTACCCGTTTTGCAGCGCCTAATGGTTAAGCTTGCTAATCCCGCGTTCCATGTGCGCTGCTCATTGGCTGTTCGATTGATCACCGCTTTAAACCACACTGACATTAGAACCCCTTCACTTCATTGTGCTTATCTGCTGACCATTGCTGTTGGCGGCACGTTGCATTTGAGAGCCGAATTATTGTACACATTTGGTCTGGAAATTGTTTGAGGTTTGTTATTAAATTGTTGTTTAACCATTTGTACATAGCACCTTAGCTCTTCCGGCGTTGACATTTGGATTGACCCGGCTGCGCTAGGAGTTGCTCAGGTTCCAAGACCGATTTATCTGTAACACAAACTCAAGGGTCAATTACGTAACGATATCTGATGGAATGTCGCTAATTGATGGACTTGGCCGAAAATCTTTCTAATGTGTGGGGTTGATCGAAACGTGCACCGGCCTTGCGTGGTTCCGCATGAGGTGTTGTGGGGGCGTTCGGTCCCCATAACAGCGGGTGAGAAGAACAATAATGTTTGGACGTAGGGGAGTACTTTTTGAAAACTGAGGGGATTCATCATCTATTTCTCAGTGGCTGACTTTTAAAACGAAAATCAAACGATAGGAGCAACGTTTGCATGTCACACACTGGAGAGCAGCTAGTAAAAACGTGCAGTACCTGGTTGTTGTATTCACTTGCGCACTTGTTTCTCCAACAACCCACATTTTTCTGCGGATAGCGACCTCCGGTCGGTTATTTTTGGTTGTGTTGACAAGATCAATTGGTGTTGGCTTTCTTCGTGCATTGAAACCACTTCGTGGAAATTTAGATACAATTCACTTTCATTTCTGATTCTGAAATTTCCGACCAGAAATACTTGTGTTTTCATCGCTTGGTTTCGGCGACTTGATATTGCCATTTTCTCCTTCAAATGGCCGCCATCTTCTTTCGGATTAGTCACAATGCCGAAGCAGTCACCCTGTGGTACTTTTTCTAAGATAGTCGGACACCGTGCGACTGCCCTCACGTGTGTTTTGTGCCAAGTTAAATGCCACATTTCATGCGTTGGATTATCAGTTGAGCATCTTTATCCTCTTCGTGAGATCCGACACTATTTCTTTAAAACTTTATGTGAAAATTGCGGAAATAACATGCATCCAGAAAGATTAGAGCCGACGTCTAGGCTTCATCAGTCTGTTACGAACAGCTCTGTGTGTTTGGACTAACAACCTAGCCCGAAGAGCCTTCAGGTTTCAGCTCAGTCTTCCTCCTCTACCTGTGCAAACCCACCGTCACGAATTCCAATCGTTGTGAGAAGTGCAGTTTCACCTGGTATAAATTGTTTACCTTTGTTGTGTCCAACGGGCACTGCTGTCCCAGCAGGTGAAAGTCTGAGTGCTAAAGACCAGTGGAAAGAACAAAGAAAGAAATTACGTGGGGATGTTGAGCGTTTAACTTCTTTTAGTCAACCGTTAGCCAAACCACGTGAGACTGGTAATATACTTCGGCCTGCAAGGTCAACCTCGTCTGACCAGAGGCGTTATGACCTCTTGATCTTCCACGCGCCGGAATCCAGTGATCCATCACCCCAAGTGCGCTACGATCATGATGTCGAGTTTTTACAGAGTAATTGGCAGACACCTTGACGCTGGTGAGGACTCCGTAAAAGTGAGTCAAATTGCCCGTCTTGGAATGCAAGGTGATCAACAAAAGCGGCCTGTGAGAATCACTTTTGTGGACGAAGCCAGTCCAAGACTGATCCTGTCCCGCCTAAGTAGGCTGAAAGGTTTGAAGATCCCTGTTCGTCCAGACCTGGACCCATTAGACAGGGAGCGGCTCAATTCTGCCATTATAAGCTGAGAAGACGTACTGGTGAGGGGAAAACAAATCTTCGTATCGTAACTTTTCGGGTGGTTTCCGACAATCTTCGAATCAGGATAAACAGGCTGCTCACACTTCAAGCGCGCCCGGCGCTCCTGCTGCGGCCTGCGATTAGCCTTCATAAACGTTTGCAGTGTTATGAACAAGCGCGATGAACTTTATTGTTTCGTTGCGTCTTAGCGGCCAGACGTAGTTTGACTCGCTGTGACATGGCTACTTTCAGAGTTATACGTCCAAGAACTTGACTTCCCCGGTTACTCGTCCTTCCGATACGATAGACTAAGATTGCCCACGGCGGTCTCTTACTTTACATCCAGTCTTCCCTTTGTTGGAGACTTGTGAGCACCTACTGTGGTGGCGATGGTTTGTGTGAGCTAATGTGGTGCTCCATCCGCCTCAGGCGAGGAGAAGTGCTGGTGGGCGCAGTTTATCGCAGTTCCCTGAGTCGTTGTTTGGATTGGTTGCCCCATCTTCGAACCCACATGAGTCGTCCACACTTTCTACTTATGGGCGATTTTAACTGTCCTCGAATACGACGGCCTGATGTGCATTTGATGCCTGGACATAGTGAGGTTGAAGCAAAGTTCGTGGATTTGGTACTTGAAACTGGTGCATCGCAACACATATGTCAGCCAACACGCATAACAACACGCTCAACCCCGTCCTGTCTCGACCTGATGTTAACGAGCTACGAACAACGAGTGCGTGACGTTTGGATCCTGGAGCCCCTGGCTACAAGCGACCACTCAGTGCTCATAGCTGATATGGAATTACCTTTACCGTGTTATACGTCCGTTGGAACCAGTTCACAACTACTGAAAAACAGACTTCGATGGTATAGCTCGAGCCGCGAGCCAACTGAATTGGTCTCTGTCACAAGCTGCATCTGTTGAAAGCTGTTGAATATTTATAAAAGAGAATTTGACATCATTGTGTTCCCAACCTGTGTCATTGAAATATCGGAAGGTTGGACCGATTAAGCCTCATTGGTTTGACAGGGAGTATGGAAACCTGGCTCGGAGGCGGCGCAGACTGTGGGACAAATTCCTTCTCTCTGGCTCTGCCAATGATTACGAGGGGTATAAAAGTCAGCGGAACCTCTGTAACAGTGCAGAAAAGAATAAGCGCCGACATTTCGAAGAGCAGCTCGCAATAGCCGCGAAGACCGCCCCAAAGAGAATCTTTGCATACGTGAAGCGACGTCTGAAGCCGGCAGGTGATGTGCCAGTGCTGGATGGCCCGGTTGGACAGTCTCTAACCTCCAGCACTGATCGTACGTTCGCGTTGGCGACGCACTTTCCTTCTGTGTTTGCGTATGATCAGGTCTCTGTTCCGAGTTCGACGTGTACCGCTTTTACCGAACTTGACAGTCTGGCGTTGAAGAGGTATTTCAACTACTCGCCAACCTTGACGACACCAAATCTGCCGGACCTGATGGGCTTCACCCACTGGTTCTCAAGTCACTTTCGACCATCTTCTCTCCTGTCGTGACTGACCTTTCCAACAAGTAGCTGTCCGAAACTTCGTTTCCAATTGACTGGAAATGTTCGGTGGTGAAGCCTATTCCGAAAGGCGGCGACCTTAGCAAAGTAGACAACTACAGGCCAATTCGTCTGACACCTACTTTGGTAAAGGTTGATGAAAATATCGCGATGAAGGGATTGCTGCAGTTGCTGCAGTCAAACGAGGTCCTGACGCCCGCACAGCACGGTTTTATGCAAGGCCGATCATGCATTACAAACCTGCTCGTGCCGAGGCACGAGCGGTTGAAGGGAACATCCGTCGACTTGATATTCATCGATTTCAGTAAAGCGTTCGAGGAAGTCAGCCATGAGGTTCTCCTTCACAAACTCAGGATGTGTGGTGTCGGTGGCTCACTGCACCGGTGGATCCGCGACTTCCTTTTGGGACGAAAGTGGAGGGTATAGGTCGACGACCATCTAACTGACTCGCACCCCTCTACAAGTGGCGTGCCTCAAGGCACTGTGCTGGGGCCCACTCTGTTCCTGATCCACATCAACGACCTACCACAACTTCTCCGTTCGCCGTGTGCCCTGTTTGCGAACGACATGAAGATTTGGAGAGAAGTTGACGCTCCCGATGACTGTGGCCTACTTTAGCAAGACCTCAACCACCTATCCACATGGTCTGCAGAAGTTCTTCTCCCGGTCAACCCAGCAAAGTCTGTATTTATGAGCCTGAGGAAGGGTGCTGACGGCCGAACCTACACCCTTGATGGCGAACCGCTATATCCCACATCCTCCGTGAAGGACCTAAGTGTACTCTCGCGCTACCATTTGAAGTCCGTGGACAACACGAACAGGCTATATCGTAACGGACTGCGCATGCTTTCGGCGCTCAAACATAGCTTCGGCACATGGTCTGAAGAGGTTGCTACTCGCCTCTTCTCTTCCATCATTAGACCAATGCTAGAGTACGGTTCACCCGTCTACTTTCCGATTACCCGAGGCGAGACACAAAAGATCGAACGGGTCCAACGCTTTGCTACCGGGCTCATCCCGAGTTTACGCGGCTTTGGGTATGAATATCGGTGCGAGAAACTAGGACTCTACACCTTGTTCTACCGTCGGGTGCGAGTCGACCTCATTATGACCTACCGTATTCTATATCTCGGTGA